AAAAAAGAGGACTGTTAAATAAATTATAACAAATGTATGCAATGGAATACTGTTAAGTACTTAAAATGATATAAATGTGTTTGGTTGCATTGAAAGTTCACAACATATCATGTGACTATATTGGTTCATTGGTAATTGTGTTGGGACAATCTTCGCTCCTTAGTGCAATCTCTTAGCTGTGGGTACTTGGCTAAGGAGATCTTGGCTAAAAAGGACCTTTGTTTAAAAAAAGTTACATATATATATAAAGCACAGAAAAACATCCAGAATATTGACAATAACTTGCAATTTATTGTCAATATTCTAGACCTTGAATAGGGTGACAAATCTTTATTAGCTTATTAAATAAATAATGAGGGTCAATGATGAGAATATGTTACAAAATAAGGGTTATGGTTATTTCAAATTTGTGCAGTTGAACTCCACTAAAAAAAAAGTAAAGAAAGGAAAGAAGAAAAAAACATCTAGGAGGTTACATACGGAACTGTTCATGAGAGTTATTTCTAACTGGGACTTCAAGGGTGATTGTTTTCTTTCTACTCAAAGAGTTTCTAATTTGTCTATAGTTCTACGTTACTTACAGAATGGAAAAATAATAAAAGTCAAAGAAGTCAAAATCATTAAATTTAAGATTAAAACATATTCAACAGTAACAACAGTGAAACTTTACCCTCTTAAATACACAAAAAACCATTGTCTGTATTGGCCAATTATGTTCATTTGTAGCAAATGCATTACACAGATTCGTGGGGTATTCCATGTAGAACACAGGAGAAACATTTCTGTAAACAATGGGTAAATCCCATTGGATTTGATTCATTTCACCTATGTCAGGCCACTTTTGCACAATACTTGGAGAAAATGTCAGGTCGTTTACTTAAAAAAGGAAGGACGCAGCACCCTACCTACTAGGAAAGATGAAGCCATTTGGAGAATATTCCCCTGAGTTGTGAGGTGTTACTGACATGAAGGTGCCTGAATATAGCTACTCTTTTAGGGAAAGGAGAATTTCTAAATGCTATTACTTAAGTTACCTTGCCTTAAATAAAGGAGGACTACTTTATTTAAGGAGATGTAACTTATTTAAATTTTCAGAGTTTCAAATAGTGAAGTCAGCGGTTATTTTAAAAAGTTGAGGTTGCTCTGGGACTTGGTTAGATGTCTCTGCTTTATCTTCTTTGGTACTTTCCCTAGGACCCCATCTTATTTTCATGGCTTGTTCCAGTACCTGTCTTTGTAGACTGTAAGCTCAATAAGAATAGGAAAAACATTTTACTGGCCCATAATAGGAACTTAATATCTAGCGAAAGAATGTATAAATGAATGAATGGATAGAGTTGTGATTTAGAGCTAGGTACTAAATGGTTGAAGTTTTCAAAAGCACAGTGATGAGGGTTCCTTACACATTGATGGAGAAGTGTGGGTTACATTAAGATTTAAGATTTTAAGGTGAAATATTTACATTTGTAGTTGACACAAACCAAGGGCAGTAAATGAAATGCCAAGATAGAAATATACTACTATTCATGTATAATTGAAAAATTGTGCTCTACACTGGAATTTGACACAACATTGTAAACTGACTATAACTCAATAAAAAATGTTAAAAAAAAAAGAAATATACTACTAAAAGGTCCTATGAGGTGTAAGAATGTAGAGAAAAGTGGTAGATAAGCTACAATGTCATAATTATATCAATTCAGAGCTAGGAGGGAGCATAGAACATCTGAAATTCAATCCCTTCATTTAATAGATGAATAAATTAAAGCCAATACAATTTAAATAACTTACAAGGTCACATAGCTCATTATTGATAATATCACACCGTGAGCCAGGTCTCCTGACTTGCTGGTCTAGTTCTCTCTTCACCAAACTTAAAGATTGACTATCCCTTAAACCAAGGAAAACGGAAGTCAGAGACAATCATCTTTTATCTGAACATCCTGGTCCAGACTACTTCTTCAACCACCAAGAGCAACAAAAATAAGGGGTCATCAGGGACCGCATGGTAAAGGAAAAAGAAAAGTTTACATCTGTAACATTGTATGTAGTTCTGGGCCCAAAAAAGTTTACATCCGAACATTGTATGTAGTTCTGTGCTCACATAGGGAAAAGAGCTTGAAAAGAGCCATAGGAGGAAATCTAACTGATCTGAGAGTTGAAAGAATAGGATACAAACATTCAGATGTTTCAGCCTGAGCTGCAAAAAGAAAATAATTATTGGGACTGGACCTGGAACTTTTGCAGTTGTCAGCGAAGAGGAAAATGAGACCCTTCCACAAAATGCGCCATTGTCAGATATTCTGTCATGAATTACATGACCCACAAGACTGATCCAGTATGATAATTCCGAAGGCCCTATTTACAAACCCCCCTTGTCATTTCAACTCCCACTTGATCCCTAGAAATGCCACCACCAGAGAGGGGAAAATGAACGCCTAGCTGTTGTTCTCTCGGGTGACAGTGGTGCTTCACTGGTCAACAGGCTGACACTTATTTGGAGCCCCTCCTCTGTTGACCCTCACTTCATTCCAAACCCTGAATTGTTGGGGATGAGAGACACTTCCTCGCCTTCAATCATAACTGTCAACTACTGATGTCTTTTATTCATTTGCTCTTTTTGGCATCAACAATAGTTTCATGCCCGTGAATATTTTCCGGTGTAAGTATGTCTT